TCAGATAGTATTAGCAAAAGATAAAAAAACACAAAGGATAAATCAATTTTGATGATTTTTCAGTGGAAATCTCCAAACTTCAGTAGATAATAGTACAGTCAATCAAAAAAGAGGGGCGTCTAAGTAATAGGGGAAACGTAAATTGATAAGATAAAGAAATAATTGTATGAATTTGACAAAGAGTAGCAACCTTGATATCGATCGAGAATTCCTTGTGGCGAACAGGGAAAGAAGGACTTGAAGCATCATCCATAGCAGCAACTAACCAAAGGAAACGGCAAGAGCTTGATCACTTGATATTGCTCCTTTTGATTCGAGTTGGTGTCTTGTAAAAGAAGAGAGTAAACTACAGTTTTAGTCCCTGAATTATTCAAATCTTCAGATTTAGTCTGTAATAAAAATTTATCTACACGGATCGACCCTAAGAGTAAGAGGTTTTGCACCATTTTTGTCTTGGGCAAATGTCATATTAGCCCATAAAACTTATCGGGTTTATTTTGAAAGGTCACAAAACTATTTTTTTTTGGCACATTAAAGGAATGAACTTACATTTCTCTGTTTTAAAGTACCCTTATGTAACTTGATACCGGGTTCAAAGGTAATATACATGTCACGAAGGAAAATATCGATTCCAGGTCATTTAATGAAATGATCACGTGTATTACATTTATCTTAATTTGTTTTAAATAAACCTATTGCCTTCTACAATCCCCTCATCCTCATTAAAGAAACCCCTCCTCCCACCGTAGTAACCGTAGATCGATGGTTATATTCTTCTCAATCAAAATTCATTTCCAAGGTGTGTTCATCAACAAACCTTTTTGCTATTCTGATGGTGTTCATTATGTGTTCGAGCATATCGATTTTGCTGGTAGGTCTAATAATGAATTTGTGGGTTTTCTTGAACGATTCACATAAGAGAAGTGTGAGAAACTTTATTATTGTTAACTTGATTTAGAAATCCTAGAAGGTTTAACCTTGATTTCTAATGAACTTCAATATCAATAATTTATAGACATTGCTTATCGGTGTGGAGTACAACTACTTGTTTACGTGGACCATTTTGGTACTACTATGCACGTAACTAAGGAAAATGAAAATGAAGATAATTGTTATGTTAAGTCAAACATGTCAATCGAATAGGAAAAATGTATTGACCTAACCGACTTCATGAGTCCACAACAGAGCAACATGGAAGGAGTAACCTATGAAGGAGTAAGTCAGGCAAATGGAAATGAGGATACCACAGAAGGTGATCCAAAAGATGATGAAAATGACAATGTTCTAGACGTTGAAGATTAGAATGTCCCAGATGTTGAAGATGAAAATGTCCCAGATGTGAAAGGAAAACCGATGTTTAATGAAGACATATCTTGGAAGAAGCAATTGCCAATTCTAGGTATGAGGTTCACCAACCCAAAACAATTAAAATCCATGCTTTGTAATTATGTTGTAGCCAATGGGTATCAACTGACTATGAAAAAAATGACAGCAAAAGGTTATTGGTTAAGTGTTGTGATGGTGAATGCACATCTAGGCTCTGGGCGTCATGGATGAGTGAAGAGCACTCATTCCAAATCAAGTCCCTTATCAACGAGCATAAGTGTGAAAGAAATTTTAAGTTAAGGTCAATTAATAATTATAGATGGATCGGTAGTCATTTCACCAGGGATGTTCTTGAGAATCAGAAATTCAATGTTAGGATGCTAAAAGAGGAAGTAAAGACTAAATTTAGCATAGATGTTAGTATGGGACAATGTAGGAGAGCTAAGCAACATGCAGTGTCTCTTGTTGAAGGTACCATAGTGGAAAATTATGCAAAGTTGTGGTCCTATGGTGAGGAGATAAGAAGGTCTAATCCAGGGTCAATAGTCAAGTTGTATGTAAACTCTATGCTAGATGGGAAACCTTACTTTAGCGGATATATATATATATATATATATATATATATATATATATATATATATATATATGTTTTCATGCACTAAAGCAGGGCTGGAGAAGTTAGAGGGATTATAAACTTGGACGGGTGTTTTTCAAAAGGAATTGAATGTGTACTGGTAAGTTATAATGTGTTGTTAGTAGGGATGCAAACAATCATATATACCCAATAGTTTGGGTTGTGGTTTGTGCTGAAAATAAAGACAACTGGAAATGGTTCTTAGAAAACTTGCAAGAATATCTGCATCTTGAAGGTGGGTATGGTAAGACATTGATGTTAGATCAACATAAGGTATGTTTATGTTCATTATGCCATGCTTTATGTGTTTCAAGTATGATTTAGTTCTAAATTTTCTTATGATGTAAATACAGGGGATAATTGAAGCGGTGAAGGATTTATGCCTAGAGATAGAAAATAGGCAATGTATCAGGCATGTTTTGTCTAACTTTAAGAAGAAATTCCATGGGGCTCAATAAGAGAAATTATTTTGGAAGGCTTGTAAGGCATCAACTGAACTTATTTTCAATTCTGCAATGAAAGAGATTCAAATGTTTAGCCTTGTTGCTTATGTACATCTTATGGGAAGAAATCCAAAGTCATGGTCAAGATCATTTTTTTCAAATAGGAAGGGGGTGTGATGCTGTTGAGAATAGGTTGTATGAAAGCTTTAACAATGTTATATTAGATGCTAAGAAGAAGTCAATTATTACTATGTTGGAGGATATTAGACTATATGTGATGCAGAGGAAGTGTAGTTTGAGACAGAAAGGAAGTAGATGGGGACATTTTGATGTATGTCCAACCATAAGGCTTGCCATAAATAAATTGAAGATCCAACAAAGGTACTTTGTTCTTCTCTGTCACTCTTTTTCACTATATTAGCTCTTATTAAATGTGTTTATTTATAGGTACTGGCAAGTGCTTCCTAGTAGTCTGAATACCTTTGAAACAAGAAACTTAGGAGAGTCTTATGGTGTTGATTTGGAAAAGAAAACATGTACTTGTAGGATTTGGCAACTGAATGGGTATGGTTATGTACATTCTGTGGTAGCCATTTCTTATGTAAACAGAGATGTAGAGGCGTTTGTTGATCATTTATATCGTGCTTGCATATATATATATATATATATATATATAAATATATAATTATATATATATATATATATATATATATATACTAGCCGTCTACCCGCGCCAAGCGTCGGGTGCGGTTTTTTTTTTTCCAGAATTTATTTTGTATAAAGTATTAGTGTGTTTGCGCAAATAGTTTACTACACTAACAATTATCAATAAGAAATAGAATAATAGCAATGAAATTAGAAAGAATTAAAAATGAACGTTGAGATTCTTTAAAAATAATATGAACACATGATTGGCTTGATCATTATGTGACTTTATTTGTAAAATTATAAACGATAAAACAGAATATGCAATGCATTCAAAATCCAAAGGAGAGCGATCTGACTATTGTATAAGGTATGTATACTTACTTTTTTCTCAAGGGTTCATTTTTTTTCTTCTATAAGACTTATTTTGATTCTTTAATGAAACCTATAAGGCATGTTTCTTCTATAAAAATTATTTGTTTTTTTTTATCGAAAAGGAAACAAAATGTTTTTTGTTATAAAACTTTAAAAAATTTATCAGTTTTTTATTAAAATGTGTTTATGTTATAAATTTATAAATATGATTTTGTTATAAAATTCAATAAATATGTTTTTGCTATAAAAAAAGAATTTCTATCATTATATTAAATGTTAACATATTTTATTGGAGCTGTGATTCATTTGAGAAAGAAATATCATAATGCTTAAAATTGAGAAGAAGCAAGAAAAAATTTTAATTATGACAAATGCATATCTATGAAAAATCAAAAAATGAAAATGAAATCAAAGAAAGTGCTTATGCTTATCAAGATGAACAAAATGGAATTTCAGTTATAACAAGGAATGGCATTGCTATACCCGATATACTTTTAATAGTAATAAAACAGAAGTGGAATGCTATAATAAATGACTTGGTAGAATTACATTGCTATTTGTTGCACTTTTAACATGAACATCCATTATCACCAAGTTGCCATATCTAAAAGATTTTACTTTGTAAACTGTTTAGCACCTAATCAATTGAATAAGCATGATATTAAGTGAGTCATGCTGTCATGATCCCCTTAAACAATCTTGAAATATTCAACCAAATTGTGACTACTAAATGAAGAATGAAATGAAAGTCACATAATATTTTGAAAAAGATTGTTAACAAAAACGTTAAATGTATAATCAAAGCACTAAAGGAAAAAACAGCAGCTTACTTTCTTTTATTTGTTTATTAAACCATGTTACTTTAATTTCTTTCTATTACAATGCCTTAAGAAAAAAATAGAAATAAAATGTTGCAATAAAAGGAAATGGAAGCAGAATGCTATAAATAACACACAATTAAATGTTTAGTTAGAACTAATAGCTCAACTTAATTGTGTCATTGATAAAATGTTGCAGCATGTACGCAAACTTGTTGTGACATTCTGCTTTTAGGTTTTCTGCAAATAAAAAAAGGCTGAAATTTAGAAAAATAATAATAAAATAAAATAATGAGTGCATAAAAGCATTAATGACATAGAGCAATTAGCGTTAAAAGGAAATCCATTACCATCAAGAAATAATAAAAGAAATCCCAGCAAACATTGTCAGATGCCGATCCAACAAACCAAAAATGGCAGACATAAGAATTCCACTACATACTTCGTATGAACTTTGCTATGTAGTTCTTTGAGAAAGATATTTAAACTTCTAATATATCTTTACCTCCCTAAGTAAACTGTAATAACAAAAAAAAATCTACAACATAATTTTTTCATTTATCTCTTAATTATGGTTTATATATAGACAAAAAGAAAATAAAAGTACATTACTACATTTGACACAAAAAAAGGCTAAATGCAAGATTCGAAAGTGAACAATGGTGACCACCATTATATTGTAATTTATTTGTTTTCTTTATTTATAACATATATTTTAACAGAAATGTTTTTTGGATAAATAAAAATCTTCGTAGTGAACAAAACATGTTTAGCATATTTATACATATTGAGGCTACTTAATAACTCTTTGAACTTTATTCACTTTAAATTATAAAATATTATGTCACACTCACCAAACATGTGTTTTTTATTTTGACAAATTATGAATTTCCCCATTTATATAAACTAAACCATAAACATGATCTTTCTATTAAAAAAAATCACAAAAAAATGTTGCATACTTGCATAAATAAAATAACACAAGGTAACTATGACACTTTAAAAAAGTTTGATTTAGAAAAAAAAGATTCATTGTGAAAAAGTAAGGAATCTTACTTGTTAACTTAACTAAGAAAGGATTGCAAATGGACTAAAGGAGTCATCAAGAACTCCTTTGCGACACCTGTGTCAACATTGCTCACAAACAAAATAGTTTTGATCAATAGTTAAAAGACAATCCCTTGTTTATTCCCTTTCTTAATCAAATAAGCAATGTAAACAAAGAACAAACAACCATGAATATTAGAACTAAAGCTAAGTAGGATCTTCAAATAAATGAAACTTAAAAGAGATGCATGTAGCCCAGGCGCCATCTATGATATCAGGTGCATTTGCCAAGGCAACATGAACCCTAATAAAAAGAACCTTAAGCAACTATTACCGTATTTTTTTTGGTTTCACCACGAATCAATAGCAACATAAAAGGGCTTGTAAAAGGGAAAAAATATACTTCTAACTCCAAAATACTCGAAGATAGTGGGTTACCTGGACAGATAGATAAAAATCATAGATAGTTAGATTAGTCAGTTTGTTCATTGATCAACATATTGAAGGGGACAGAAATTAGATCAACATATGATAAGCCGAAAGGGAGAAAGATTGATAGAAAGAGAGATAGATAGTAGAATCCAATACACAGACGACAGAGATTCTTTACAGTTCACATTTCCAATAGATAAATGCTTGTATAGGACTCACAATTCACAATTGTAAGGTGACAATGGATATTGTTTCATCATTTTTTCTTCCTCACTTGGACCTGACAGAAGTTGGCAGCAAAACAACAATGAGGCAATATACAAAAATATATCAGTGTGAAAAATATAGAACATGTTATCAGTTAAATGAAAAAAGAAAATACAGAGCACGAATACTAACACATATAATTGAAATTGGCTTCTAATGTACGACTAATAGGTATATCATCAACTTGTATTAAAAATGGTTGAATAACATCCTATATCTGTTGTGCATCTTTGTTATGTCTCGTCTTCTTTAAAGACTATGGAAAACCAATTGGCACAAAATTCAATGATTTCAGGAGTATGTGCTTAGTATAAA